CTATGTATTTGATCAGAAGACAAAGGATTTTCTTTTTGGACCCAACCACTGGCTCTGCCCACTTACATGCCTACTACTGAACTGCGCTCTAGGCTCTTTTTTCTCTTTTTTTTAACAACAACAACAAAATCCATGTACTGACTATTTTTTTTTTTTTTTTGAGCGTTTCAGTTGCAGTTTAGGCTGGCCTTGAACCAGTTGGTAGTCGAGGCTGGAATTGAACTCAGTTTGATCCTCATATCTCAGCCTCATTGTGTGTGCCACTATGCCTGGTTCTTTTTTAAAAAATTAATATTTACTTACATATTACTCCCAGAAAATCAGGGAGACTTCAAGTAAAGTCTAGAAAATTGCAAATTAAAGATTCCCCAGGATTAGAAAATGTGGAAACAAGAATCTGTTAGATACTGGAGGGTATGTGCGTATGGGGGTAGATTTTTCCTTTTTGGTTGTTATATGGTGAAAATGCAACCACAGAAAACTAATTTGCGTTGGTCTGCACATGGAAATCCCCCTTTCTTGGGGTGGTTGTGAAGATAGGATCTCGCTGTGTAGTTCAGGCTGGTCTTGAACTCATTATGAAGCCAAAGCTGCCCTTAAAGTAGAGGTGATTCTCCTGCCTCAGTTTTGAAAGTGCTATAATTACAGGCCTACTTCACTGCACCAGTCTCTCCTCTTCTTGTTTCTAAAATTTTTTCTCTGAGAATTCAAGGTTTACACTGATAGCAATTATGCAGCGGGCAGGAAAGGTCAATTTAAAGTACAGAGGAAGAGACCAAAAGTAAAGAGACTAAAACTCTTTGCCCTTACTAGTACTATTTTTATCTCTTCTCAGCTAAATTTGACCTGCAGTCTCCTCTAATTTGTTTATTCTCTTTTCTTTAACAAATGCTTAAGCACTTTTTTTTTTGGCTGATTAGATCATGGAGAGAAAAAAGGAGTTAACCCTGACCTGGGAGCAAAGGTATAGCACAGTAAACAAGCTACTAGAAATAAGGCAGGATGGTAGCTGTGCTGTGGTCAAGGTCAGGATCAGCAGTGTCCAACAGAGCTTTTATAGCAATGGAATTATTCATTCTCTCTGCTGACTGACCTTAGGTAGCTGTATCAGTCAGTGTTTCAGTAGAGAAACAGGTATAATACAAGATATACAAATGCACTGAGATATACAAGATTGGTTTATAATGGTCACCCAAAAAGTCAGATGAGGAAGTGTGGAGAGGGTCTCTACACACTGGAGACCAAAGGTTTCAGCCCAAGGTGTGGAGCTCACTGCCAAGTGCAAATCAGAGGCTGGTGGTCCTGTAATGGAAGGTTGATGAGTCTATACGGAAGGCTGAAGGATCCCTGCCAGAAGCTGAAGAGTCAGCGCTGGAAGCCAGGAGACAATATCCAAGTTGAAAGGAAAGACTGGAGCTCCTCTGAAGAATAGAAAAAGATCCATCATTCCTCATTTTCCCTTTATACCATCCAAGCCACGAGCTGCCCTGAGGTGGGTCTTCCATATATTCTAGTGTGTAGAATTGCTGAGCCAATTTAGTTAAGCTTCTAAATTTCTCAAACTGACACAATCAACCCATCATTACAGTAATCAGCCACACGTAGCGAGCAAGCATTTGAATTGTGTTTAGTACAACTAAGGAACTAAAATTTTAGTTTAATTTCAATTTTGATTTAACTAGCTACAGCTGATTTGAATTGTGCAGGCCTACATTCCAGAAGGTGTCAATAGTTGAGTAAGACGTGAATTGCTATTTTTAAAGAAAGGGAAGATCTAAAGAGCTGAGAATAAACAAACGCCTCCTAGGAGAGGAAAGAAAGGTACTCACAAGCTGTGCTCACCTCCTGTTGAGGGTGAGACAGTTCTGGGTGTCTGGACAGCAGATTGAGCTGCAACACTGGGCAGAAGATGCAGCTGACAGCTAGGATTTGAAGTTGTAGGTAATCAAGCTCCCCCCCACACACACACACACTAGGAATAAACCTAAGGCTTTTGTGCTGAGGTTCACTGCCAGCCCTTTTTTGTAACTTTATTTTTTTTTTAATTTTTATTTTGAAAGTATACAACAGAACAAGTCAGAATAAAGCCAGCTAAGATCGTACAGTGAAATTGGTACAGAACTTCACAGCAGGTTACCGGGATAAAAGTAATAGGTATCACAGTATATTTTGTTATCTTTATAATAGTTGTTATTTCACTCCCGTATATCAAAATGAGATATAGAATGAAATATAGAACACTATAGAACTTATCAAAACAGAATATTGAATAGAGCAGTACCATTAATCAGAAAAGAGCAAAACAGTAATAAAAATATTTGCCTTCAAAGAAATGGTAGAAAGAAGTCCCCCTTATTTGCTATGGTCCACCTCCCAGGAGATGCTCAGATTTCTGGTTCCCACTTGCTAATGGGCGGGGAGGGGGAGGAGAAGGATAGGGGAAGTGGGATATTTGACTCTAGGCCATGCAGCAATAGGTTCGCTATTCCTAAGCAGGGAGGCAGAATGGTCATTTGTTTTCACAGCATCCTCAGTTCCAACATGGCGTGGATCTCAGGAGACACTGCTAGTTCTCCCCCTGGAAGGGCTGCAGTCTGCCACCCTTGCCTCCGTTTACCAGGGAGGGGAGGTGCTGGCTTGGCTTCCCAGAGTCCAAAGTTCCAACATGGCGTGGATCTCAGGAGACACTGCTAGTTCTCCCCCTGGAAGGGCTGCAGTGGGTCACACTCCCTTTTTTGTAACTTTCTGACACAAAGTCTCAATAAACTGCCCAGGTTGGGTTTAAACCTTGGCATTCCCCTGCCTCAACCTCCCAGAGTACTGGGGATACAGGTATGAGTCATCGTACCTAAGAGTCATTGATTATTTTCTGATGAGTGGGGTAAGAATGGCTGTTATCTTATATCAGGCATTATGCTGAATGTCTTACATGGATGAGGAAACAAGACCTTAAAAAAAAAGACTGAATTTAAGAAAGACTGTTTGAGCTGGGTGTGGGGACACACACTTGTAAACCCAGATACTATATTTGGGCGGTTGAAGCAGAAGGACTGCAAATTCTAAGGCAGCCTAGGCAACTCAGTGAGAACCTTTCTCAAAATAAAATTGAAAAAAGGCTGGAGATGTAGCTCAGTGTGCTCTGGATTCAACCCTCAGTCACACACACATGACCATTAGAAAAAAAAAACAAGTATAGGTTTATCTGTGCAGTTTGGTACTGGAAGGATTGAGGGAACGTTTTAGGATGGTTAAATGGAGCTGCCTCCTCCTAAGGCTCCTCAGTAACTCACAGGGAAGATCAGGAAAAGTGTGAGATGAAGCTAGCACGCCACAGGGTCCTCTTGGAAGACAGAAAAGACTTTCTTTGGGCATATTAGAGCTGACACAGAAGAATGAATGGCAGATAGACTTTTTTTTTTATTGGTATTGGGGATCGAACTCACAACCACACACTTGCAAGGCAGGTGCTTATGCCACTGAGATAAATCCCCAGCCCTAGTAAATAGACTCTGATGAGAGAATTAAGTTGCTGAAATTTGATTTTTTTTTCTTAATATGCTATAGACTTCTTTTTTTTTTTGGTACTGAGGAATCTAACTCATGACCCTGTACTTACCAGGCAGGCGCTTGTGCTGCTGCACAAGTCCCAGATCCTCTCCTATGGACTTTGAATCCTAGTTTTGAAACAGGAATCAGGGTCATCTGCCAAGAAGTGAGAAAGCAAGATAGGGGAAGGGGGGAGGAAAAGAGCTCTGTAATAGCATCAGTTGGGACTGCCTAATAATAATCCCCACTGGCGACTATCAAGGGCCTATTACGGGCAGTCATTATGTATTATCTCATTTAGTATAACAATCCAGTGAGATATACTTTAAAATTATAAAACAGGAATCTGAGGGTCACGAAGGTTATCACCTTAAGTTGGATATACAGATCAGTGGTAGTAGGCTTGGCTAGCATGCAACGAACGCCCTAGGTTGGATTCCCTGTAGGGTAAAAAATTAACAAGTATCATTTCAGGTTTTAGAATAGGATGGAAAAAAAATGTATTATAACAGCAGTTGTAACCGTGGGTGGTGGTGCACAAGGCAGAGGTCACACTATGTGCTAGGGGGTGTGAGATCCCTCTGCTGAGGGAACAAGTGAGCTGGGAACTTCTGGATGAGAAAAGCGGAAGTTTTCCAGCCCAGGAAAGCCAAGGACAGAGGCTCCAGGACAAACAAGCTGGGCATCTCGAAGGATGTAAATTTGCAGTGCAACGGCGGCGGCAGCGTGCTGAGCAAAGAGCTACAGGCCAAAGTGGAAGGTACAACGGCGAAAAGGGGAAGGATTTGAGTCAATCAGAGTCAATGGAATCAGGCTCCCATGCGGCGAGGGCCAGACTGTCCAGCTCGCCGACAGGGTGCTGTCGCTGCGTGAAGCCACCCAGCACCTGGCACGCGGACAAGGCAAGCGACCCGGAAAGCGTCCAGGGTCAAAGGTCGGCCGGCAGGGGGTGGGGGTAAGGAGTGTGACCCTCTGGATGTCGCGAGCGCCCAGACAGCGTGCCACGCCAGCTCGCTGGGGGCCCCAGCATCACCCGGCTTCCGGCCGGCGAGCTACCCCGCCCGCGGCACCATCGCCCCCCGGTGGACTGGCCTGGTTTTCACGGGGGGGGGCGGGTCCATCTACCAAAACTTCGGGAGGTCGGACCCCTTTCCCTTGAGAGCAATGAGGAGACGAAATAAAGTATGGTTAGGACGAAGTCATACAGAAATTGCCCTTTTGATTTCTGTCTCGTTTTTCTTTCCTGGACTTCCAGAAACGACTGACTTCCCCGCGTGCTCTCCAAATCACCCCCTCCAACAGTGAACTCATTGGTTTTGCCCCTCAATCCGGATTGGCTGAGGGTTTACGCCTCGGCCAGGGATTGGAGAACAACAGTTTTTACCTAATCCCCGCGCGCCCATTAGCTCGTCATCCCCGTTTCTGGGCGGAGTGGTCGCGAACGGTTTCCACCCTCTTGTTTACGGAGCGCGTAGTTGTAGCCCTGGGACTGTCTCCAAAGTTCCCTATTTAGCTACTTGGACCAATTGGGGTCTGGCTCCACCCTCCCTCTCTCCCTCGCACGCGTTCCTCGTGGTACGGCCCACACCTTTAGAGCGGCGGCGCGTGCGGACGCCCGTCGCGCCCCCTCCCCCCGGGCGCGCTTGGTACGCCCCGCGCCGCCTCCTTCCCTCGCTCGGCTGGCGGCGCCCCTCCCGGTCGGTGGCGCTTGGTGCCGCCCGGGAGAACCAGGTCATCGGTCGGCTCCCGTGAAAACAAAAACAATCGGCGGCGCCTCACGTCGAGAGCAGGGTCGGAGAAGCGGCGCCGGGTGGGGCGGGCAGGCGAGAGAGCGGGCGAGAGCGGCGGCGACGCGCCGGGGCCGGGGCCGGGGCTCCATGGGGAGGGCGGGCTCGGGCTGCGCGGGGCTCTCCCGGCTCCGCGGCTAGCGCGCCCGCCGCCTCAGCCTCTCGCGCCGTCCGCCTGGGGGACCAGGAGCAGGACGCGGCCTCGGGGGGGCCCGGGCCGAACGGCTGCGGACCCCCGGGCGCCGAGGAGCCGGGCACCGCGGCCTCCGGCATGGATCAGTGCGTGACGGTGGAGCGCGAGCTGGAGAAGGTGCTGCACAAGTTCTCGGGCTACGGGCAGCTGTGCGAGCGCGGCCTGGAGGAGCTCATCGACTACACCGGCGGCCTCAAGCACGAGATCCTGCAGAGCCACGGTAGGGCCCCGGGCCTGGCCCCTTCTCCCCGACGGCTCCCCAGGCTCTGGCGACTTTGCCCTCCTCTTTGCGCCGGATTTACCTGGAGCCCGTGGCGCCCTCAGTGTTAAATCAGAATGAGCGCGAACCTGTCCGGAAACGCGGCCCAGAGTCGGGTTCAACGTGAGTGGGGGGTTTATGGGGGCGTCCGCGCCACGTGCAAACTGCCGCCCTCCCGGGGTGGGCGCCCCCGCTTTCCTTCCCGGTAACGACAGGCTTACCGGCGGTAGGTGTGCCGATGACATTGGACCCACGGGTCCGAGCAGTCAAGAGGCTCAGTGCGGGAAAGCCTCTGGGCCCGAGGACTTTCTTTGCAGGTCTTTTTGTTTGTTTGAAAGTGGAGTGTTATTCTTAGCTGTCGGTTAGCCGAGCAGCCGCTGCTGCAACTTCACAGTTGACTCCTGTATGGGAGAAGCTCTTCTGAACTCCTCAGCGGCACTGACCCGATTCCTAGGAAACCCGGCGAATCGGACCCGTGGTGTAGCCTCTGATGAGACCAAAAAAAGCACAGTTGTGACACAAGTTGTTAGTACTTGCCTTCCCCGGGCCAGTTTATACTTGTTTTTTTTCTCAGAAAACCGACTTAGCTGTAGCAAACGTTTTATCTTAGATGATTTGATGATTGTCCTTAGCCCTCGGAACAGATACAGTGCTTTGCCAGAGTTAACTTGTGGAAGCCCGTCGGGGCGGGGTTTTATTTAGCGTTTTTAGAACAGCATGAAAGGGCTGTGTGCTTCCCATTAAAATAGAAATTAAAATTCCTTCGGAGCAAGAAGTATAGGAGTTTTTATTAATGGATTCGTGAGATTGGGGTCTTCCTAGCTTGGGGTCTTAGTGTTAAAGGAAGGCCTGGTGGGAGAGGGGCAGTGTGTGTATTTGTGGCAGATGAGATGAAGCCCACTCCCTCCTCTCCATCCTCCTGGCCTTCTTTATCCAGGTGACTTTCATGTGGAGGTAGTGCAGGTCACCGGTGAAGGAGTCTCACAACTTCCTTTTCTGGACACCGTGCTTTTGAACTCACAGGATGAAGGAGCCTGCGACCGTGGTGGTTAAATATGGGAAAACCTTGTTAACTAGAGTAGTTGTAATGTTAACATATAGGGAGGGAGAAGCAGACCTTATGGTTCCCTGTAAAATGAAATTTGAACTGGTGGTGATAATATAGTTGGGTAGGAGAGATAGTGAATTTGGTTTTGGACACATGGGATAAAGTTGGAGAGTTTAATGTAAATAGAGTCCAGGGCATGAGAGAGCTATAGGTTTGAGACTGTTTTCTGATATCGTTTCTAGGGGGAAAATCATAGGAGTAAACCCTTAACGATCCAGCTGTAGCTGTGAACAGCCTTTGGGCGATGGAAGGCCAAGGCGGAGTGGCAGAAACAAGGGGAATGGTTGGGAAAAGGTTGCTCAGTTGTCACTTGGCTACTTGGGGGAGTCTGTGACCTTCTGTGCTTCAGTTTTGTGGACTGGTTAAACCAAGTGAGATTACCAGAGGTTAGAAGAGAAATAGGGTGCAAGGAAACCTCTGGTGCTGTGGTTGAAGGCACTCCTTCCCTCCCTCCCCTGGAGAAAATCTTTGTCCTGTTTGAGGCAGAAAGGGAGGAACCAGAGCCTGGAGAGGATGAATGGTGGGCCTGGAGGTGGAAGAAATATTTCTTTTGGGGGGACTGGGTCAGAAATTGAGGGATTGGATGGGCAGGATATGAGATGGAAAGTAAAATATCTGTAATTGAGAGGCTATTAGAAAGGGGTGTGGTTGTCAGGTTTGCTTTAGAGAATTTAGGGTCAACACCGGCTGGATGACATGATTGTGAAGACTTGCTGAGGCTGGAATTTATTTTAGACCACTTGGCTTTGTATGAGTTCATTTCAGAATTTTGTGGCAGAGATGGTAGACATGAGCAGGTTAATTAAGGCCCTGTATTTTGAATTTGAAAGCACTGATTAGGCTTTCCTAAAAAAATAAACAAAAAAAACTGGGACTGCCACTGGGTGTAGTGATGCATGACTATCCCAACACTAGAAGGCTGAGGCAGGAGGCTAGAAAGTTTCAGTCCAGTCTGGGCATTACAGTGACTTAGAGAGACGCAATCTCAAAATAAAAAAATGTGCTGGAAATGTAGTTCAGTGTGAAGGCCCCAGGTTCTGACCCCAGTACAAATAATAAAAACGTGACTGTCCCGCAGACGTTTAACATTTGTGCCTGCATTTCCTTTTTCTTTACAGTTCTTGCTTCCTTACTTCATACATTTTGATGTCTTCCCCTTCCTATGACAGTGATTGAGCTTGTTAGTCTGTACCATGTAATTTAGCTCTTAAACACAAACTCTCTTGTTTCTTTCTTTCTCATGTTTGAGACACTAGGCTGGTAATGTGATGCAAAGGCCTTTAGTAACCTCTGAACCCTAACACCCGTCTCTGTGGTCCCCATTCCGTTCTGAACGGTCAGGGCTGGAAGACCTAATGCTATACGTTCTTTTACTTTGCAGATTTACCAAACATTAGTGACTAAAAACAAACCCCAAAAAGTTTGTTTTCATTGTGTACTGCCACTAGAAAAAAGGTAAATGAGTTCTGATGTGCCTTTCCTCCCTCTGAGTAAATTTGTTGAGCAGCTGCTGTGTCTAAGGTGCTGAGCTAGGTCCTGAGGAGCCCAGGGCTTCCTTGGGCCCTGGTTTAGTCCACTCTCTTTTTAATATATATATATATATATATATATATATATATATATATATTTTTTTTTTTTTTTTTTTTTTTTTTTTTTTTTTGTCTTTTTCTTTTTCTTTTTTATCGGTACCAGGGATCCAATTCACGACCGCATACTTTGCAAGGCAGGCGTTTATGCCTGCTGAGCTAAATCCCCAGCCCCTGGTTTAATCCACTCTCTACAGTGTGAACTAGTCCTTTGTAACAGCAACCTCACCTTTCTAAGCTTTTCTGTTCCAATAGTTAGCAAGGATGTCTGTGTTCATCCTGTCATTGACTTTTTTTTTTTGGTCTTTTTCCTTTTTTATCTGTATTGGGGATCAAACTCACAACTGCCTGCTTGCAAGGGAGGCGCTTATGCCGCTGAGCTAAATCCCCAGCCCCTCTGTCATTGACTTGTACAAGTTAGTTCCTTTGATCCTTTATTTCTTTTTATTCCCATTCTAAATGTCTTAACCTGCCTATAAGCTGATAGCATGTGGGAATATACTTTGTCATTGCCATAGGGCCTTGGCTCTTAATAAATGTTACTGAGTTGAAATGTCTTTTTCTCCCTTTTGGCTTTTCTGTTTTGTTTATAAGGTATTAAGATGGAGTGATACAAAAGTTTTCCCTCTTCTGGTCTTAGTGATACTTAATATTCTTTTGGCTTTTAAATTTTTAAGTTTTTAAAACAAGTCTACAATGAATTCTGGAACGTAGCTTTGTGAGATTTGAATTTTCACATAGGTACAGTTTGGATTATGATTCCTAAATGGATTTCTTTGTTACTATCTCCCCATCAAAACTTGGGCTCCATTTTATCTCCCATTTAATTCTGTTAAGATCTCTGTCCATTTGGTGAAAGTGGAGTTAACTTTCAATAATTCAGAAGAACTGAAATGCAGTGAATGTAATATTTATAAACTTGGATTTTTTTCTGTCTCTAGGATATTCATAAAAATGTTAAATAAGACATTAGCAATTTCTGACTGTTCATTTCTACCAATATATTCTAGTCTTAGGTGGTGAAGTTTTCAAGCTTTTTAAGAATCTGAATCATCCTGGGTATTGAGAAGACCTTTCTTTATGGTACCTCCGTGTGTGTGTGTGTGTGTGTGTGTGTTTTGAGTATGGTGGGTCTCATCTCTGATGTGTTTGGCTCTTAGGCAGCCTGTGATGGTCTAGTAGCATCCTTAAACTCTTGTATAGATCAAATTAGAACTTCTGATTATCTGCCGACTAGCAGACATTTCAGGCTGTACCACCGGCCCACCCACTGGCCAGCTGTCTAGTTTTAGGAGTGCCATGTTTCATGAACTGTGTTTGTGCAATTGTTTGAGGCCTGCCTCCAACCCCCATCCCATAAAAATAAGAGGCACACAGAAAATTGAAACTGTGATTACTACCCAAGGAGTTTTGAGAAATGTGGTTGTCAATTTTAATGACTTTTGATTGAATTTGTTTTGGTTGAATTAAGTGGGCCAAAATATTGAGTGAATCTTGTCACATAGTGGGACACGTGATTGTCTCCCCCCCCATGATTGTCTTAAGTCTTGTGATCAGTAAGGAAATAGAACATATATATGTAAAAAATGCTACAATTATATTGCAGGTTGTTTGTTTAAAAAAAAGCAAGATATAACCAGAAATTTTATAATTTGTAGCTTCATGGAAGCCATATGCATACTTCTTTTAACATTTAGGTTTATTCTACTTTCCTGTATTCCGATTTTGGATGCACTCTTACGTAATACACTGTGCACTATTTATTTCATTGCATCTTGACATGGGATAGCTTACTTTTACAAAGAAACTGAGAATCAAAAGCAAGGAGTCAAAGCATAAGCCATTGAAATCCAAAGATTATGGAAGTGGGGTGTTATTTGGAAAAGAAGAAATTTACCTTGGGGGTGGGGAGGAGAAACTTGGTTATTTTGTGAATGTATCTTATTTGAAAATTGGTGTGTGTATATTTGTATACATACAAAGATTCCTTGGAATTTTCTCCTTAGTAATTTCACTGGCAAATAGAAACAAATTCCCAGTTTATTTGGTGCCTGGAAAATTGCAGGCTGCAGTGTTACTGGGGGGTAGACACCAAGCATTCTGCGGGAGTAGGGGTCGGTTGGCCAGCGACTGTGTGTGAAGCTGTGGGCAAGGAAGTTGGTACCAGGCAGAGTGCCCAGTGCGGGGCTTGAAATTGAAAATTTATAGTACGTACTTTTCATATTCATGTAATACATTGTATGCTTGGTGTGTAAGTAATTATTGAA